AGTGTCCAGTGATGTGCAGGTTAGGCCGGATCGGCCGTGGGAAATTATCCCATAGTGTCCAGGGATGTGCAGGTTAGGGTGGGATTGACCATGGGAAATTGTCCCATAGTGCCCAGAGATGTGCAGGTTAGGGTGGATTGGCCGTGGGAAATTGTCCCGTAGTGCCCAGGGATGTGCAGGTTAGGGTGGGATTGGCCGTGGGAAATTGTCCCATAGTGCCCAGGGATGTGCAGGTTAGGGTGGGATTGGCCGTGGGAAATTGTCCCATAGTGCCCAGGGATGTGCAGGTTAGGGCGGATCGGCCATGGGAAATTATCCCATAGTTTCCAGGGATGTGCAGGATAGGGTGGGATTGGCCGTGGGAAATTGTCCCATAGTGCCCATGGATGTGCAGGTTAGGGTGGGTTGGCCGTGGGAAATTGTCCCATAGTGCCCAGAGATGTGCAGGGGGTGACCTTGTAGAGGTTTGTAAAATCATGAGGGGCATGGATAGGGTGAATAGACAAGGTCTTTACCCCAGGGGATGGGGGGAGTCCAAAACTAGAGGGGCATAGGTTTAAGGTGAGAGGGAGAAAGATTTAAAAGGGACCTGAGGGGTAACTTTTTCACACAGAGGGTGGTGCGTGTGTGGAACGAGCTGCCAGAGGAAGTGGGTGGGGGCTGGTACAATTACAACATTTAAAAGGCATCTGGACGGGGACATGGACAGGAAGGGTTTAGGAGGATATAGGGCCAAATGCTGGCAAATGGGGATTGGATTAATTTAGGATATCTGGGTCAGCACGGACGAGTTGGGCTGAAGGGTCTGTTTCTGTGCTGCATGACTCTGTTGCTCTCTGGAGGTCTGTCGGTTGGGAGTGCGGGGGTGGGGGTGTGCAGAGTGAATTCTGGGGTCCTGGAAAGAGCGGGGAGGGGAGGGGGATGTGAGATGGGGCCAGGCCTTGTCCCGTCTCCTAATGCTCTCGGTGACCTGCTGCAGAGGACCCCCAGGAGAGGGAGAGGCGCGAGCGGAGGGAGCGGATCGAGAGGGAGAGTCAGGGCAACGATGAGGAAGGAGGGCGCCTGAAGATGCGGGAGGAGAAGGACAAAACCAAGGAGCTGCAGGCCATCAAGGTATGGGGTCTCCCTCGTGGTGGGGGGGGGGGT